GGTTAGTCCGGAGGTCTTGATGTTTGTACCACTTCTATATCAGAGTCTACCATAGAGGCTTATCTTGTGTTTGCGCCGACATGTACCAGTTTGCATTCCTTTATCCGGGTCTTCCCCAAATGAATGCTCAACTGTAGATCTTGTTACACCGCAGTACTCCCAGGAGCAGTACCCCTGGTCCGTGCCCTTTCGGTTACAGCATATGATGCCACTACAGATTAAGTTGACATATCCGGAAGAGATATACAAGAAGTAGTTTTCAAATTTTCGTCACCAGTAGGATTCGAACCCTAGACCTTGCTACTTGGGGGGTGACAACTCTACTACTTCGCTATGTCACCACAATCAAATTACTTTATAAAATTACAAATTCACATTATAGTTTATAAAATTTATTAAACATAAATATTCATACTTACTATAATTATTACATATAATTATTAAAATATAAATTACTATAAATTAATTATATATTTAAATATTATTAATTAATAAAGCTAATTATCCTTCTTTTTGCCATAATCAACTTTCTACTGCAAGCTAGATATTTATTAACTAGATTCCACAACTGCTATTAGCAATAACAAATTTATATTTTAATTTTACTTTATTATTAAATAAATCTTTATACCCGATTCTCTTTATAGCTATAAAACTAATCCAAACTACAATATATTTTAACAATAAGATATATAAATAAATTATGAGCTACAAGTGTTGTTTACAATAAAATATACAATCATTTTAGCATAATTAATTTAAAGCATATAAAACACAAAAATGTTAACAAACATAATTCCCATAAATTTCTTTTTTATACGCAATAAATAAAATAATAAATTATCAAATCAACTTACACTATTAATAATACTATAAATTATCTAATTAATATATATAATATAGTTTATTAGTAAAAATATATATAATATTATAAATAATAAAAATTTATAAATATACATTTAATATAAAATATCAATACATCCTTTTTTGATATATTATATAATAACAGATGACTATCACTACCATTATGAAAAATTTCATTAAAAAAATCATGATTATCATATGTTATAAATATAAACGATAGTATAATTACATATATATATATGTACATACATATATATATATGACGTATACTTGATCCAAATCAATATTGTGAAATTAATATACATATGCGAATATTAACCAATCAAATTAGTTATAAAAATATATTTATATATATTATAAAAATTTATATATAAAACCACATTCGTTTCATTGCATCAAAATTTCAAACTATTTAGTAAATCCAAATTCTTGAGTTTATATTATGAAGAATGCGTACACACTTTATAATTACAATAAAAAATTCTAACTACCCAAAAAAAACTATATCTAATTAGTTTACTAATTCATCATCAATTTACTGCTTTAAAATATCTTAAATATTATATTTTTTATTATATAAAAAAACAACCCGGTAACTTTATACATACATAAATATATAAATAATTAACTTAAACCTATAAAATACAATTATCAATAATACATCTCTATATAGCTATATACAATACAAAAATACATATCTCTTAAAATTCTAAAGCCTAATACTTAAAAAAAATAATATAATATTCTTCTATATATTTAAAAAATTACAATTCATATTTCTATAAAAAAGCTTCAATAACATACCACTATTCTAATTATGCCTTTAACGGCATATTCTTTACAAAAACATTCTAAAAATATTTAATATCTATCCTTTAGCACAATAATAAAAAAACTTTCTATAATTCAATTTACTATTAACCCTACACTTATTGCATACTCACTACAATAACATCTAAAACATCATCTTAACATACAAAAAATTGCATATAGTTTCTTACTAAATACAACTTTAAAAAACCTAAACAATTAATTGCCTTCACAATAACTTTTTATATTTTTAAACTTAAATTCGACAGTCTTATTTGAACTGCCACAATATCTCTAAAATACAATCTTGAATCCAATCTTTTATATGCTTGTCGTATTTCTCTTTCACCTATATTCGCATTAACTTCTAACACCTTTTAATTTAAAAATATAACTTTGTTTTTTAATAATATAAAAACTTTAAATAAATAATGAGTCTGTATATTAATTAATATATCGAAAATAATTTAGCTTTATATTCGTGTAGAGAATTTTACATCCATTATTACTGTACAAAATTTAAAATTGATGAAGACATTTATATAACATTTCAAATTTATTATAATACCAATAAAAATTATATGTGTAATTCATTAAAGCACAAAGTAACTATAAATTAACACGTAATCACTCAAGCCCATACTCAATTAGTCAAATCATAAGAGAACACGCAATACATTACATCATAATTTAATTATCATTATGCAAAATTACATCATTTACTCTTATAATTAAATCACATACGTACTTATTACTAAACTAAATTTAGAAAAAGATCAATGAATTTATAAAAAACTTATATTCAATTATTATACGTAATTAAACTACTATGTGTAAATAACAATATAATAATAATAAAATCCATATGCTTCACACATAAAAATTAAATTATTACTTACTGAACCAATAATATTTATTAAAATCTTAAATAAATTACCTTTCTTTTCACTACCCTTTCTTTATTATAAATATTGTCTTATCTATATTTCCCCCTTATTATATTATAAAGTACAAAAATCATAAACACCCGCTTCACACTGCAGTGGCAGTGCTAATATCTATTTTATTTTCAATTACTCTGCCACAACGGCTATGCAGATACTCTTACACTGCACTGCCTATCCTTAAAATACATACGTACCTTAAAAACCATACCCAATTTTCAACATAACTATACAATTTTCTCTACATTTCTAACTCGCTATTCCTTTAAAAATTAATTTAATTATAATAACATAAATAACAATCATTTATCTTACCCCTTAAGCGTATAAATTATAAATAAAAATAAAATAACTAAATTAACTTAACTAACAAACATTATATTTAATTACCACATAAATCACATATATATTTTTTTTCGTTACATAAATCACATATATATTTTTCTTCATTATATTAAAATCATTCTCAATAATACTCTTTAATAATCACAAATAACTATACCAACTAAAACTATAATATAATAAAATAAGAATAAAAATAAAAAATCTAAAACTTACTACACAATATTTATAACAAATATAGGTAAACTAATAATCATTTACCTATATTATATATCTTATAAAGTAAACACTCATAATCAAATATACCATAATTATACAATTGTATGTAATATATTAAAAGCTTATACCTAAATATAAGCATAATTATATATAATATGTAATTTTATATTCCAAATACTTTCTTTTAAATAAACAAACTAGTAACTGATATAATACATAAAAAAAATAATTCAACCTTCTTAACATTATATTTGCAACTTAACACTCTTACTAATCGATCCGATTATATTAAAAAACTCCCTTAGCATTACACTATTATCCTTGTTTAAAGTATAAGAATTCTGGAAGAAAACAATGAAGGTATTGCTGGACGTTGTTACTATTGGTTTTGGGAGAGTGGAGAGCTATGAGCCAAATTAGCTCTAATAGTAAACAAGATAAGATGTTAGTACAAGCAATAATGTGGCGGTAACATGAAAGATTATGCACTGCATGATTTAAGAATATACAGTTAGACAATTCCGGAATGGTAATTGTCTGATAAATTGGGGTAATTAGGATGGGTTGACAATAACCAATCGAACAAATTAGATTGTAATGATCAATCAAATATATGCGCAATGTGTTTTAAGTGTATGCGCTATATACTTTAAATAATGATAGGCGGAAAATAATACCAGTTTTTAAATATAACATATAAAAGAAATAATTGTAAAGAAAGAAATCGATAAGAAACAAATAAATAAATAAAAGAGATAACTGATAAATAACAGATAAATAAAAAAACTAGATAAAACTCAAACAATCAATAAAACTAAAACAATAAATGAGAAATCGAATCTATCTAAATCAAAATCTGAAGACATCTTTGTGGATAAACATGATGCCTATAAATACATGTTTTCCTATTATAATAATTATTATAATACACATTTTAACCTCAGTATTACTTCATTTCTTCCGCTACTCATCTTATGAAAGAAGAACTATCACAAGCTTATCAAAGGAAAAAATAGCTTATCTATAGTTATGCAATAAGATCATCATGATAGAGCAACACAATCAGCCAAAAATGCAGATGACCCAGCCAGGCACCAGGGATGTAACGCAAAGTTAATCTACACTAACAACATTGTTATGAGATAGAGCGAATAAGAAATCTTGGATAGACAAAAGCCTATAATGTCAATGTTAAAAATGCAAAACATAAAGAGTTTATTCATTATCAAATCTGATGATATAAGAAATTTTTATGAATTGTTCAATAGTGATTGTTGTATTGTCATTAAAATAGAATTAGAATTGATAAAACGAACATAAAAGCATCCAAATATTAAAAAAAAACATTGTAAAAGTGAACCAAGTAATCTTGGATGTTGTTATTAAAATGCACAGTCAAGCATAAAAAGAAAATGAGATATGAAATCTGTTGAAGCAAGTGGTGATGTCGCTATGAAAATAGAACCATTGATAAAAAGGCTGCAAAAAAATGCTAATAGATATTATAATAAAGGAAAGGTGATGAATAAGACATTCACATATTATCAAAAATCTGTTAATGTGGATTTTACTAATGAAGGACAATATCATCTTGAATCATGTTATCAAAATCTGAAAAGATAGTGCTTGTGTGGTATTTAAAAATGCTAAAACGTAATGTGGAAAATGCTAGTAGAATGAACTGTGCTAAATGTTATAAAAAGAGAAGTGGTGTTGAATTAACAAACATTGAAGGCAAAGTTGCAGATGGTAAAGCTGAAAGTGATGCTAATAATATAGCTAATTAATATAAAATCCTATATCTAGGTGAATATATGCCTAATATCAGTGTGGTTAATGCTGACAATATGGAGAAGGAGTTTTATCTTGAAGTATGTTCACAGCATACTAGAGATAAATCAGCAGAAAAGTGTGTCTGGCTTAGCTGACAAAGAGAAAAGACAACTGTTAGACTATATCCAGTTCTAGTCCAACAGCAACCATCTTGGCAGCTCTTTTCAGCATTTCTGTCTGATGGTATTTACTTTTATGTGATGATTTTTAATAGAAATGGTTATTTATTTAAAGAGACATACTTGAATTTTACAAGAGGTGGTGAAAATTTTTTAGTATAGTCAAAAATATTTTAGCATTGTGAAAATATTTTAGCATAGTGAAAACATTTTAGTATAACAATAATATTTTTAACATGTTGAAATTTTTAGTATATTGAAAATTTTTAGTATATTAAATATTTTAGTACATTATAAATATTTATTATTTTAGTATGTCAAAAAATATTTAAAGCATTT